ACCTGCATGGTCTTTGTTTTACCCATAAACAAATCCTATAGTAAATGAATAAAGGCAAGATACACACATAATTACCACCTGTCAATCACTTTTTCTGCGGGACTCGTGAATAGGCAGTGATCTGTGTCGTTATAATGGCGTCAGTAAAAAAGACGCACAACCAACAGGAATCAGCCAACAGTATCTGAGGTGTTCGCTAAAATGACTAAGTACAAGTGAGTGAAAGATTGAAGCAGTCCTCTGACTGCCTGGACCTGCTGTCTGGAGCACATGGCTGTGTGTGCGTCTGTGTCTGTGTGGTCACGTGATGTGCATTTTTAGAGGTAGAGAGGAAGGAGGGCTGCTCAGAAATGCTACACGCCACTGTGGATGTCAAATCGTTGTCGTTCTAAAATGCCATTTAAAAACAAAGACGGTGTAAACAGGGCCTGAGTGTGTACTTTTCGCGAGCGGATTTGCAACGGGGGCGGGCGGAGGATCGCGATGCTGGTGTTGTCTATCGGACGAACCGTACGTAATACATACATAGCAGAGCTTGCAAAACTGTGTTTTTTTTTGTCGACAACACGAACGTTGTCAACATAACTCACTGGAAATCCAAAATGCTTCCACACCGGCGACTTCATTGAAAGAGGAGAGGATTTAAGCTCTGTCGACGGGTCTCCTGCTTCTGCAGTTCAACAAGCACTTCAACAAGCCTGTTTTTTCCCGCTTGGCAAGACAAGCTGACATGACATGGGGGCGTGGCAGCATCGACGATTCTATTTTTTGATTCGATAATCGAAATTGAGCATAAATTTCAATCGATTTCGATTTGACTCCCCTAATCATAAACAGTTCTTACGATGCTATACCAGATATCCATTTGCAAGTTCTTATTGCATTCTGAACTGGAATCAGAAGGGCTCTCAAAATAGCTTTTGAAATTAAACATACGGCAACGTGTTAAGTAAATACTAAATAATAAAACTTTACTTGCTGTACTGACTATATCTCCAGTTCAAAAGTAAAGTGGCATGGCTTGTTTATTGAAGCTGCCGTATCATCAAAATACTGCACAGATAAACTGTGCAACTGTAGGGTAATGACATCTATTGATTATGTTGTAGTAAGCCACATAGTAAAAAGTTAACATTCCAGTAGCACATTTATATTTCATAATTAAAACGACTTGGTAATAAATACTGTTTTAGGCAAGGAATTTATAATAATGTGCATCTATTTTACCACTGAAAGTACATGCATCATCATCATCATCAGATATGTGGGAGGAGCTTCAGGATGTTGTTTTGCCATTCATCTATTTCTTCACTTCAGGTTGCTCCTCAGTGATGCAAAAATGAGTTCTCTTGTTTGCCTACTTGTAATGTTGATCTTAATAGGTGAGTAAATGTTTACTTTAACTTTAATTATCATAAATCATTACTGTTTACATGACTACACAGAAAAACAAAAGGCAACAACTCATGACAGCAAATATTGTAAGTAAATGACTGAAATTGCTGTGTCTTTTTCATAAAATATTCACAGATCAATCATTTGGCCAGTCAATAACAGCACTGCAAACCACAAAACAGGCTGTTGAGAGCGAAACGGTCATTTTGTCCTGCAAATATGATACTCAAGCAGACAGTTTACACTGGTATCGACAATATCCAGGATCTACACCAGAATATCTGCTGCTTGTTTATGAATCAAACACCGTGTTTCATGCTGAACCTCCTTTCCCAAGACTGAACGCCAGTGTGAATAAAGTGGAGAAGCAGGTGAATCTGACCATCTCTTCTGCTGCAGTCACAGATTCAGCTCTGTATTACTGTGCTCTGCAGCCCACAGTGACAGAAAGAGCAGCTACACTGTACTAAAACCTCATAGAGAAGCTCAGAGTGTGAAAGAAAGATTCAGTGACTCTGAATGTGTTGAAAGGAGTTTTGGGTGGAGCTCTGCAGGATTTGACAGAAATGCTCATCTGTCTGCAGTTTCAATTGCTGTTTGTTGTGCAAAGATGATGCTTCACTGCTGTCTGCTGGTGTTGTCTGTAACGCAGTGTAAGTCATATACTGTACTACATTGATTTGATTAAAGTTGAAATACTTAATAATACCTGTATTTATGTTTAAGTTAGTTATTAATTGCAATCTTGTATTGATTGCTTTGATGTATATTTTCTGAACATCTTCATCTGTTCATTTTCTCCTAAAGAAAAGCCTTCTGTTTTCTGCAGATACACTGGCACAGTCAATAAGACCACTGCAGAGCGATGTTTATATCACTGAGAGGACTCCAGTCAAGCTCTCATGCAAATATGATGGCAGTGTATACAGTCTGCATTGGTATCGCCAGTATTCAGGAGCAAAACCTGAATTTCTGCTTCTTGTAACAGAGTCAACCAGCAAAATTGTGACCTATGCAGATCCCAAAATTCCTGGAATGGATGGAGAAATGAGGATGAGTGAAAAACAAGTGGATCTGGAGATCTCCTCTGCTGCAGTATCAGACTCTGCGGTGTATTATTGTGCCCTGCAGCCCACAGTGACAGGAAACACACAAACACTGTACAGAAACCTCTATAAAGAGAAAGAACAGCATATCTGTTCATTATTGCCGCATGTTGTTTTCTGTTTGGAGATTTAATGACATAATTTGAAAAAATGTGAGTTAATGTGAAATAATGGATTTCAAAAAGTGAAAATGTCAGCAAACGAGCAAATCATACAAACAAATCTTTATGAATTGTAACCTACAAACTCATAAGGCAAACGTTACTGTGTGTACTGCTACTGGTTTGTTTACACCTCAATCACTTTCTTAATCTCACGTTTATCTAAATGGCCCTGCAGTGTAAATGTTTACTTTTAAACATACAAATACTGTCTTACAGTTAATGGAGATTTTTCTACCTTCGATAATAACATCTATAATTTACATTCCAAGGTTTCTTTTCTTGTCGCTTCATTTAACTTGCTTGCTTTAGCCAAAGTGATCTCATTAACATATTGAAATGAATTTATTCGACAGAGGAGACAGTGTGGGGTGTTGTGGAAGAAAAAGATATCATTTACTTCAAAACTCTAGCAGCCCAGGTGGCGACCGTGCCTTTGACTCTGGGTGATACTTACAAGCTGGTCAGGGCAGGTGAAATCTCAGGATCTCACCACGACCCTGAAACAAGATTTTCAACTTAAACTTGTCATGCCCATTTTCTACACTGCCATTTCTAATACATATAATAGACAGGACGACTCTGTCTCAAATCAGACTTGTCATACTAAGTAAGGCCCCCTTTACACAAACGCCGTTTTCATGCTAAAACACATTATAGATCAAAAACGATCCGCATGCGCGTTCTAGCGAATATATGCAGCTGTTGTAGTAAAAAAAAGGCAGAGTGTAACTGCACAATGGCGCCTAAAACAGAAAATAGTGCAAACAACGCTCCTATTTCTGTGTCTATGTTGTTGTTGCACTGAAGGCTGGTGTTGTGTCTTCCGGTAACGTTAAAGCCATGTTTATAGTCATGTGATAGGGGCTTGATGAATAAGGGAAGGATATGCAATGACACAAAAGCCCCAATCCGCTTGTTAAGTGGTGACGTGTTTGTGACGTATGTAAATACTGTTTCCAGGTCCACTCATTTGAGTGGAGAAATCATTCGTTTATGATCACATTTTAAACCTATCACACATTAAAGTTCATTTTATATAGAATCATAGTGTGCACAACAATCTCTGGGCTTGCTGCATAACAAACACCAAAAATTTTACAATTTATAAAAAATAATCACTTTCTGGCCATTGGATATTAGGCATGGACATATATACTGCGATCGTGATTCAAATGCCTTAAATCGCTTTGTAAATGTTTATTATTACCATTTCATGAGTCTCCCTATTCAGTTGAATAAAGCGCTTGGACCCGGAAGCCGCTTTGCGTGACGTCACACTTAACAAGCGGATCAAGTAGCAAATCTCAGCAGCCCCGCCTCCGTTTTCAGATGTCTGCGTTTTCCCCCATCCACAATTAGACAGAGCAGCAGCATTACAGGATGAAAACGGGCTCTCAAGCATTTCCAAAACGCTCTGTTTTTGGCACTCGAAAACTCCGGCGTAGTCTGGATGGCGTAACCGTAGTAAAACTTTTTTCAAACTAAAACGCATTAGTGTAAACGGGGCCTAAGTTAGACCAGTTTTAGACTAAAGGAGACTCTTGTCAGCTCCGGTAAACTTGTGAACTTCTTATGTTGTTTGACTGCAGAACAACAAACACGTCTCAAAAAAACCTTGCTTGTAACGAGTCTTCTGGTTTAGGTTCTCATATTTCTAACACCTTAACCTACTGACCTTTTTCTTCATGTACAAGCAAATCACAGCCATTGGAATCTTTTTGGCTCTTCCAATATCATTTACATCCACTGATTTTTTTTTGACATTAATAACAGCTTGCTTGATGCTGTAAACTGATATTTTCTTATATTATTCTACTTTTTATTTATAGTCATGAACACACTTGTCTGAAGAGCAAATAGTTTGAATGTTTTCTGACGTTTATTATTTCTAGTCATTTCTTCCATAGGCAACTGAATCAGAAGTTCTAAAACAAATTGCAAAAATGAGTGCACTTTCGCACGGCAGAATAGGCTCAATATAGAATGTAAACTGGAAGCACACAGTAAAATGAAGTAAATGTAACAAAGTAAAATGTAGATTTACATAGCAAATTTTTTGTGTAATTCCCATACACCCAAAGCTATTTACAATCGTATGGGTGGGCTCTTTCCACACGACCACCAGAGTGCAGCATACACTTGGATGATACGCTGACAAGTGTCATGGGATTTTTAAATGACCACAAAGAGTCTTGAACTTGGTTTAATGTTTCATTTGAAAGACAGCACTCACTGACAGTGTATAGCATCCCCTTTACTATTCTGGGGCATTAGGACTTACACAGACCCCAGGATGTGTGTGTTGATTGGGAGTTTTGGGTGGAGCTTTGCAGGATTTGACAGAAATGCTCATCTGTCTGCAGTTTCATTTGCTGTCTGTTGAGCAAAGATGATGCTTCACTGCTGTCTGCTGGTGTTGTCAGTAACACAATGTAAGTCATATACTTTACTAAACAGATGTGTTTAAAGTTAAAATGCTTAATATATTTATAATTCAAGTTAAAATTAACAATTATTTTTTTATTGTTTTTTTATTGTACATTTTCTGAACGTCTTGATCTGTTCATTTGTCCTAAAAAGTTTTCTATTTTCTGCAGATACACTGGCACAGTCAATAAGACCACTGCAAGGCGATGTTCATATCACGGAGAGGACTCCAGTCAGGCTCTCATGCAAATATGATGGCAGTGCATACAGTCTGCATTGGTATCGACAGTATCCAGGAGCAAAACCTGAATTTCTGCTTCTTGTAAGGGAATCAGCTAAAAAATCTGTAACATATGCAGATCCTAAAATCCCCGGAATGGATGGAGAAATGAGCATGAGTGAAAAACAAGTGGATCTGGAGATCTTCTCTGCCGCAGTATCAGACTCTGCTGTGTATTATTGTGCCCTGGAGCCCACAGTGACAGGAAACACACAAACACTGTACAAAAACCTCTATCAAGAGAAAAAAAACACCCTGTCTGTTCATTACTTCCGCATGTTTTCTGATTGCAGATTTAATGATATGAAAATGTGAGTTAATGTGAAATAATGCACAAGTAAAGATGTCAACAAAACAAGCAAATCAAACTTACAAATGAATCTGAATGAATTGTTACCTAAAATCTTGCCCCGCAAACTCATAAGACAAATGTTACTGTATTTACCTTCTTAATCTTACATTTATTTAAATAGCCCTATGGTGTAGCAATTTACTTTTAAACATACAAATACCGGCTTAACATAATGATTTTATAAACGCTGCACATACCATTTTAATATACCACTTTATAAATAGAGTACATCCTAATTATTATACATTTATTTATGATATTTTAAATTATAAACTGAAATGTGACCTGTGGTGGGACCTGCCTGCTCTAGTATTTTATGATGATTACCCATTAAAAATTCCATTATGAAAATGTGATTTTTATTGCTAAAGATTCAGTTGAAATAAAGTTAAACAAAACAGTAGATTTTGTGCTCAAGATTTTTTTGTGCAAACCGTTTGCCTACAAACCAAAACATCCTAATGACAAAACCATTAATATAATCAAGAAAGCTAATAAAAAATTGTGTAATAAGTGACTGCTGTAAATTCATCATTACAGCCACATGGTGGCATTATGTACAGTCTTACACCTACAACATATTGTAGTATTTTCAGGTTAAGTTTATTAGGTTTCATGAACAGTACTTCTATAAAGTCAACTGACTAACAACCAACAGCATCTTACATTAAATACATAGCGATATACTATAGATTTAGCAACAGTCAAAATACCACTAATAAAATTAGTAATGCATGAAATAAGTATATTAAAAGTAATAACAAAATATGTACAGTAGAGGGCAGTGTTCTTTCACAGCTTATAGAAGATATGAATTGGTTCATTACTTCAAAAAAACAAAACATGTAAACAGTGTACAGAATCTGACAGTTACACAGTTTGTGCCGCTTGTGATGATCTATGATGTTTCTCTTTGGTCTCTGGTTCATTCTTTATTTTTCAGGAAAGATGTTTGATTGTTTATAGAAGAGATACTAAAAAAGATTAATAATTTGATGTATTAAACACAAACATTCTGTCTGTCTCAGATGATACTAGTGGAGAAGGAATAGCTCATCACTCTTCATCTGAATTTTTCATCAATGGTCACTCCACAACTTTGTCCAGCAATTACAATGGCTCTTACAGCAGTGACTCTCTCTTGTGGTATTGACAATACAGCAGCTCCAAACCACAGTTTCTGTATTTGGTTAGTGAAGCAAAGCTTGAACAACCAGCTGATCCTCCAATTCCTGGACTACCTGCTAAATTAAATGAGGAGAATAACCTTGTGTATCTGGAGATCTCCTCTGCTGCACTATCGGACTCTGCTGTGTATTACTGCGCTCTGACGCCCACAGTGACTGGAAACACACAAACACTGAACAATAATGACAGCTGGAGTCGTTGTTTATTAAACTCTATGGTCAGGAAGAATTACAGCATTTGAGTGTAAAAAAATAAATTACAAAGCAAATAGTGGTACATAAATATAGATGAAGTTATTTTGAAAAACTGGATGTTTAAAAACATACTTTAGTACCAAAACTCTAAGTAAAGTTCTTAGTAAACCATATCAAAACATGTATTACTAATTTTGTCAGTGCATGTTGCCATTATGCTGCATTTAAACCTTTCTTACTCTTCTCTACATTTCAGAGTTGGTCCTAGAGTATAAATAAAAAGTAGCTAAAATATATTCATCAGGCTCTAGGTCTGCTCGATTATGGGCAAAATCATAATCATGATTATTTTGGTTATAATTGTAATCATGATTATTCAAAACTATTATCAGTTGAAAACAAAATTATTCGCCCTTCTGTGATTTTATTTTTATATATAAATATTTCCCAAATTATTTTTACCAGAGGAATTTTTTTTACAGTATTTCCTATATTTTTTCTCCTGGAGAAAGGCTTATTTGTTTAATTTCGGCTAGAATAAAATCAGGTTTAAATATTTTGAAACCTATTTAATAGCTCAATATTATTAGCCTCCTTAAGCAATGTATATTTTTGATTGTCTGCAAAAGAAACCATTATATAATGACTTGCCTATTTACCTAATTAAGCTTTTGAATGTCACTTTAAGCTGAATACTAGTATCTTGAAAAATATCTAGTAAAATACTATGTGCCGTCATCATAGCAAAGATAAAAGAAATCAGTTTTTAGAAATGAGTTATTAAATCTGTTATATTTAAACTGCTTTAAGCATCTTCAATTTAAGAAAAAAAAAACATTAGCTATAAAAGTCCTTCAGTCAAGAGCAGTGAGGGATTTTCTCCTTTTGTTGTTTTGATTAATAAAAAAAAACAGGCGGCAGCAGGAATATTGCGCACTGTTACTTTAAGAATAGTGTGGCTCTGATATGTTTCTTTTTCACGTGTCTTTTGATTCTCAACTTGTTTTTTCATTACACAAATGAAGGTTATGGAACAATAATTATTATGATGGTTTATCTCGATTAATGGTTTTTCATAATCGTTAAGAGCCAAAATCGAAATCGAAACTGGATTTTCGATTAATTGCACAGCCCTACTTTCTCATATAACAACCCTGGCATCAGTGAGCAACCTGTCTTGGGCTGCAGGGTGATGTATGTTTCATGAATTCATCATCATAAGATATGTGGGAGGAGTTTCAGGATGTTGTGTTGCCATTCATCTACCATTTGATTTCAGTTTGCTCCTCAGAAATGTAAAAATGAGTTCTCTTGTTTGCCTACTTGTGCTATTAGCATTAATGGGTGAGTGTTTTTAATTGTTTCATTTCATCATTTCATTGAGGTATTCAAAAAAAATTCTACATTGCTCTTTTAATGCAACTACACATTTAAAATGCAATAATTAAGAACAACGTGCTTTCCTTGTTATATTCTGAAGACTGTTTCATGCTGTATTTGCAGATCAATCATTTGGTCAGTCAATAACAGCACTGCAGAGCACAAAACAGGCTGCTGAGAGCGAAACGGTCAGTCTGTCCTGCAAATATGATACTCAAGCAAACAATTTACAGTGGTATCGACAATATCCAGGATCTACACCAGAATATCTGCTGCTTGTTTATGAATCAAACACAGTGTTTCATGCTGAACCTCCTTTCCCAAGACTGGACGCCAGTGTGAATAAAGTGGAGAAGCAGGTGAATCTGACCATCTCTTCTGCTGCAGTCACAGATTCAGCTGTTTATTACTGTGCTCTGCAGCCCACAGTGACAGAAAGAGCAGCTACACTGTACTAAAACCTCATAGAGAAGATCAGAGAGTGAAAGAAAGATTCCGTGACTCTGAATGTGTTGATGAGTGTTTTGGGTGGAGCTTTGCAAGATTTGTCAGAAATGCTCATCTGTCTGCAGTTTCATTTGCTGTTTGTTGTGCAAAGATGATGCTTCACAGCTGTCTGCTGGTGTTGTCTGTAACACAATGTAAGTCATATACTGTAATACACTCATTTGTTTAAAGCTGAAATGCTTTAGGTTACCTGTATTTATATTCATTCAAGTTTGTAATTAATTGCAATCTTGTATTGGTTGCTTTGATGTACATTTTCTTAACATCTTCATCCTCCTAAAAAAGCTTTTATTTTCTGCAGATACACTGGCACAGTCAATAAGACCACTGCAGAGCGATGTTCATATCACTGAGAAGACTCCAGTCAGGCTCTCATGCAAATATGATGGCAGTGCAAACAGTCTGCATTGGTATAGACAGCACCTCGGATCAAAACCTGAATTTCTGCTTCTGGTAATGGAGTCAGTCATCAGACATGTAACATATGCAGATCCTAAAATCCCTGGAATGGATGGAGAAATGAGCATGAGTGAAAAACAAGTGGATCTGGAGATCTTCTCTGCTACAATATCAGACTCTGCAGTGTATTACTGTGCCCTGCAGCCCACAGTGACAGGAAACACACAAACACTGTACAAAAACCTCTATCAAGAGAAAGAGCACAATGTCGCTGTTTTACATATTTTCAACAGAAATGTGATCTGTGGTGGTGATCTGCTACTGCTGTTATCTGCTTATAAACATTTCATATCCATTGCCCATTTGAATTTCCATTAAAAGTGAAAAGTGAAAAAATGAAAAGTTTTTATTATTATTATTATTATTATTATTGCTTAAGCTTCAGTTGAAATGAACAAAGACAAAACTGCAGATTTTGTGGTCCTGATTTTATTTTACAAACAGATTTCCTACAGTATACAACAAACACCCCTTATACCAAAGACATTAAGATAATCAAGAAGGCCAACAAAATATGCTGTAAACTACAGACCTGCACTCCCGCAGGAGTACTGTTGTACCCAATGCAGTGAGTGTGGCTCCATTTAGAAATAAGGATAACTTGTTCAATCTTAGGACATTGCTGTAAGCAAAAAAGGTTAATGTACTTTCTGAAGCAGTATTAGGCCGAATGCTTTTCTCGTTGACCACTTGAAAAATCAATGTTTATTATTATTTGTTTCATTGCAAATTTATTAGCCTATTTCTAACTGTTCTGACTGTATTTCTATTAGAGGTGTTAACAGCAATGCTAAGGAACAATAGATTCACTTAATAACAAGAACATCTTAACTTTTTCTTTATTAACTTTGGTATTCTGACTGTACTAAAAATGTGATGACAGAGTAAACAACTAAAATTAAATAAATACCTCCTATATAGACTAGACAGAAAAAAAATATTCTCTTTAGTGCAGCCATATTAACAAAGTAAACTAAAATTAAATAAATAACTGCAATGTAGACTAGTGAAAGATCTTCTTCAATCGATCTCTCTCTCTCTCTCTCCCGCTCCCTCTATGCCTGTCATTTTTGTAGGTCTGCATTCACAACAGCTTATGCCTGTCATTTCTGTAAGTCCGCCTTCATGACAGCTGATTGGTCAGGAGACCGATCTATCATCATTTGGCGACGTAGCGCGGGAATATAAAAGGCATGTCAGGAAGAGCGGGAGAGAGAGCGCTTTTTCCTTTGATCTCGTTTTTCGTGTATTTTTCTGACATGATTATGATTTTTGTTGTTTTTGCTTAACTTTCCTTTGGGCAAAATTATTTTGCATTACTTTTGCCCACTTTAAGAAGTTTTGTGAGGTTTGTACATTTTTATTTTAATTGATTTGCATGTTATTTTTTGGCTCCGCTCCTACCCAACAATATTAAACTGCATCTCCTCAAGTTCATTCTTTTCTCAGTGTAAGGTGGATAGGGAAAATGTCATACGATTTCTATTTTGCAAACACGTAGTAAATGTATTGTTAAAGACATCAGGTAAGAGGTGAAGGTCATCTTTATTTTATTCAGTATAGAGAAGAATGAGGTGCACGGCGCTGAAGACCTTTTTTTACTTTTCATAAGTTTTAGCGAGGTAAGAGTGGTTATTCATGAGTTAGAATTGTTTTGTTATATTTCTTTCTTTTGTTTGGCTTCACTATTGTCCCCTTGCTCGAGTTTAACAAATTTTTGTTTGAATTTGCTACTTTATTATATTATTTTTATTAGTGTAAACATTTATCTTTTTTGTATATATTTGGGCATTATTCTGGTTTCACTTTTGTACATTAAATCACTTTTGTTAGCAGTTTTGTTGCTTATAAGTAAGTTTCGTGAAACAGTTAAGATAGATAGGCATGCGCTTTGTCTACTACACGAATTCCATTCCTGTACTCCACTGGAAATCCAAAATGATTTACTTTAGAATATAATATTTAAAACGAAACCATCATTACTAAAACAATTTAATCAAATGTGATAACAAAGATGTGTTTAAATTGGTTCAATTAATTAGAGACATATGACGTCAACCTCAACAATGGGCAGCAGGGGCCGTGAGAGTACCGTGGTACGTCACGAGAGTTTCGCGATACGTATCGTGATTGGTGTATCGCGATATTTCGGTTCGGTTTTAATATAGTTACACCCCTAATTTCCATTTTCTGAAAATCTCCTCGATCGTGTCTTTGTTCATCATTCTATTTAATTAAACTAAAAACTAAACTTATGCATTTTGCATTTGTTTTTTTTTTTTATTTATATAAAAAAATATAAGAGTAGCTGGAAGAAACAGTAAAAAATGACTTATACAGTATGTTTACTTGCTGGCTTTTCCAGCTGAGAGTGGGGAAAAACATATAATATAATTATTGGAGCAGGACATAATCTAGCAGAAGAGAAACTGAAAAGACCATGCTGCACAGTCTCTACTGTAAATTCATCATTACAGCCACATGGTGGCATTTTTTTTTTTTAAACAGTTTTACACCTGATAACACCTTAACACATTTTTGGTCTTGTCAGATTAGCAGTGCTTCTAGATTTCATTAACAGTACTTCTATAAAGTCAACTGACTATCCAGCAGTGTCTGAAATTAAACTCGTAACAATACACTGTAAATTCTGCACCAAGTCAAACTACTTGTCCTCAAAGAGCTAATAAAATTAGAATGAAATTACAAAATCAAAGTAATATCAAAATCTGTACAGTAGATGGCAGTGTTCATTCACAGCTTACAGAAGATTTGAATTGGTTCATCACTTTAAAAAGGACATTTAAAAAGTGCAAAGAATCTGTCAGTTACAGTTTGTGCTGCTTGTGATGATCTATGATGTTTCTCTTTGGTCTCTGGTTCATTCTTTATTTTCAGGTAAGATGTTTGATTTTTTACAGAAGAAGAGATACTGAAATTATTAATCATTTAATGGATAAACAAATATTCTGTCGGTCTCAGATTATACTCATGGAGAAGGAATAGCTCCTCTCTCTTCATCTGAATTGGTCATCAATGGTCACTCCACAACTTTGTCCTGTAATTACAATGGCTCTTACAGCAGTGACTCTCTCATGTGGTATCGACAATACAGCAGCTCCAAACCACAGTTTCTGTATTTGGTTAGTGAAGCCAAGCTGATCCAACCAGCTGATCCTCCAATTTCTGGACTATCTGCTAAATTAAATGAGGAGAATAACCTTGTGTATCTGGAGATCTCCTCTGCTGCATATCAGACTCTGCTGTGTATTACTGCGCTCTGAAGCCCACAGTGACTGAAAACACACAAACACTGTACAAGAATGACAGCTGGATTCTTTTCAGTCAGGAATGATGGAATAAAAAGAGCATGTTTTGCATTTTGGTACAGTACTCGAGTATAAAAAGAATAAAGCAAGAGGTTTATTGTTTCATTGTTCATTCATATTATATAATTAGATAGCTTCTTCACCTTATGTAAAGATGACCACGTGTACACAAGCATCCTAACACTGCTCTTCTACATTAAATATTGTTGTGGTTTTTTATTATTTTCTTTATCGTATCGTAGATCGTTATATAGTATGTTACGCTGCTTTGGTACAATCTACATTGTAAAAAACTACAAATGAAACATTGTCAGTTCATCTTGCCATTTTAATGCATGAAAACTATTCTTTTTCCAGTAGGGCTGGGCGACATGGTAAAATGCAGTCTAGATAATTATTTTCCATAAAGAACAATAATGACATATATTTCAATTTAAGTTGTTAATGCTTCCAGATTTAAAAAGGAGTACCCCAACAAAGACTGACGCCACAAAAATAAAAGGATCCATTAAATGGCATATCAGTTTTGGCTGAAAGATTTTTGGTTGCTGAAAATTCGGGACATCTCTAATATCAACACAATTTTAGATTCCCATTGTTGCACATTTCTTCTGTGTGATTTACCATTCGATCATTATAGAGTAAAAAGTCCAGAGCTTATTGTTGACGAATTATATCCCGATTTGATAAAACATCATTTATTGGCCCAGCTCTATTTCAGGGGGAGTCCTTACAAATAAAACAAATATAGCAAAACCGTTTACCAGGCTTTACATATATTTACTTAAGCCTCATACAACATACTACATATTTCTATGTCAATTGTTCAATCTCAGAAGAGAGCTGAAAAACTAAAATTACAGCAGGATTTATTAATATATAAACTATCAATGCTTTATGCACTAAAATAAACCTGTAAATCCTTTTTTGTAGCAATTAGTTTTTTTGTCCTATTTACAGTATTTTACAACTGTACTAACTTACAAACGTACAAACCTACCTTAACCCATACAGTTACCTCCTTAAGTATTAGGTGTTTTAGGCATATACACTAGAATACATAAGTGAAATGTAGAGTAAAATAACATTTTCATGTATTCATAACCATCCTAAGATATGTGGGAGGAGCTTCAGGATGTTGTGCTACCATTGATCTACCATGTGATTTTAGTCTGTTCCTCAGTAATGTAAAAATGAGTTCTCTTGTTTGTCTACTTATACTGTTAGTCTTAATGGGTGAGTGCATTTTTCATTGTTTAATTTTTTAATTTCAATAAATTAATTAAATTAAGAACAATGTATTTTTGTTATTCTGAAGATGTTTTTCATGCTGTATTTGCAGATCAATCATTTGGCCAGTCAATAACAGCACTGCAGAGCACAAAACAGGCCGCTGAGAGCGAAACGGTCATTCTGTCATGCAAATATGATACCCGAGCAGACAATTTACAGTGGTATAGACATTATCCAGGATCTACACCAGAATATCTGCTGCTTGTTTATGAATCAAACACAGTGTTTCATGCTGAACCTCCTTTCCCAAGACTGAACGCCAGTGTGAATAAAGTGGAGAAGCAGGTGAATCTGACCATCTCTTCTGCTGCAGTCACAGATTCAGCTGTTTATTACTGTGCTCTGCAGCCCACAGTGACAGAAAGAGCAGCTACACTGTACTAAAACCTCATGGAGAAGATCAGAGTGTGAAAGAAAGATTCAGTGACTCTGAATGTGTTGAAAGGAGTTTTGGGTGGAGCTCTGCAGGATTTGACAGAAATGCTCATCTGTCTGCAGTTTCATTTGCTGTTTGTTGTGCAAAGATGATGCTTCACTGCTGTCTGCTGGTGTTGTCAGTAACACAATGTAAGTCATATTCTGTACTAAACTGATTCGTTTAAAGCTGAAATGCTTAATATATTAACAATTCAAGTTAGCATTTATTTACAATCTTTTATTGCGTTTTACATCTGTTCATTACTCCTAAAAAAAGTTTTCTATTTTCTGCAGATACACTGGCACAGTCAATAAGACCACTGCAGAGCGATGTTTATATCACTGAGAGGACTCCAGTCAAGCTCTCATGCAAATATGATGGCAGTGTATACAGTCTGCATTGGTATCCACAGTATCCAGGAGCAAAACCTGAATTTCTGCTTCTTGTATTGAAGTCAGCTACAAAATCTGTAACATATGCAGATCCTAAAATCCCCGGAATGGATGGGGAAATGAGTATAAGTGAACAACAAGTAGATCTGGAGATCTCCTCTGCTGCAGTATCAGACTCTGCAGTGTATTACTGTGCCCTGCAGCCCACAGTGACAGGAAACACACAAACACTGTACAAAAACTGTCTGTTCATTACCTTCTCATGCTTTCTATTTGCAGACTCAACAAGAAACTGAAATTACCACAAACATAAATTTAAAATAGAAAAAGCATTAACAAAAAAATGTGAGCAAGTATTCCGGTTAAAAAAATATATTTGAGCACATTTAATCACCCATTTTAAGTTTATTTTAAATGGCTCTGTTGTGTAACAAATTACATTAAATGGTATAGGGGTATAGGTAAAAAAAATATGATTGCATAAACATTGCATGTCCATAACGCATATCCATGCCTCACACAAGACGTGTCATTTTTAAATATTTCATTTTAACTAACCCTGTTTATTAAATAAAAAGTATTTTTAAATACTTTTAAAAATAGTTTTTAAAGTACTAAAGTATTAGTATTTAAAGTACTAGTATTTAAAGTACTAATGTTAAATAATTTGGATGCATTTTAAATTATGAAAAAAATAATTTTAGGTTTCAATTGCAATAAAAGACAAATCTGGATTAGGTGGTCAAGTGAAGAAACCAAAAAAACCACAAACCTTAGATAAATCACTTTAGATAATTCAAGGTGACAAACAAAACATGCCAATATGAATTATTAGTGTTCTTATGTAAATTCATTACTGCAGCAACATGGTGGCATTCTTTCCAGTTGAACTTATTACACTTTACAACAAGCAGTGTCAAATGAACAGTGCTGTTTAGCTTTCATCTATGAACTTAAATAAAAATTTAACAACAATATCTTAAATCAAATAGGTAGCAACATATCTACTGCAAAAGTCAAATTACATGTCATTCAATAGCTAATAATTTAGGAAACTATGAAAAATATAATCGTAATCAGTAGTGTGATAGCACAACTTGTCCAGCAGAAGGCAGTGCTCACTTAGACTACAGAATAGAAAAGTAAACCCAGAAATCAGTTCTGAAATCGGTGATGTTTCAGTATCTGGTTTATCTGTGCTTTCTTTTCAAGAAAGATTTGTGATATTTATAGAAAAAAGTAAAGTACTTTGTAAATATTTCATTTATGGATAATTAAGCTTCACTCTAAATAAACGCCATTTCACACCAGAGTGCACTTTTCAGTTCCCTGTTTTTTTTTTTTTTTTTTTTTTTAACATCATGTACGCTTGGAATTCCAGGAAGATTGCTGCAACACAGTACAGTTTCTGATACGGTTTTCTAAAGCTGTGTCCTCGGTTAACATTCCATTACCAGGCACCATATAAAGTTATAAAGTATAATATGGTTATAATGCAGGTTGTGTGCATGTCCAGCACAGTGCTCAGGACTTACACATATCACAGTATTCTTACAGATTTGATTATGCATGTTATGCACTGTTATGCATTTAAACAGATCATCATAATCATAGGGAAATGCACACATATGGCACCTTATTATCATGCTGAAATGTATGAATTCACAAAATAATAATAAAATATTTCCTGGAAGTAAAGAAAAGACAAGAACAGGGTAATTTCTGACAATGTTTCTAATAAAATATTACTATTTCTAAAAATCAACAGACTGCCATAATCTTTTGGGTGGAGCTTTGCCAGAGCAAGTAAAATAGAAAGCAGCACAGCAGTTCCCCAAATCTCTATTTGTACCTAATCTCATCAGTCATCATGGTCTTATTTTACATCTCCATTTTGACACTTCTTACAGGTATCTACATTTGATTTTATATTAGTTAATACATACACCCCTAAGTGCATTAAATGAACATGAAAATACTTAAAATGTATAAATTATAATTTTCTGTTTTGTTTTCACAGTAGGCATTTTTGCAAATTCAGTAACTCCTTGGTCAACTAAACAGCAGGTTTTGGAAGGAGAAAATGTGACTCTTTCATGCAACTACAGTGGAAGTAATATTCAAAGTTTGCAGTGGTACAGAAAGTATCCAAGCAGCACAGCTCCTGAATATATCCTGCAAACCTTTGAAAGTGCGGAACCAGCGCAACAGGGCCGACATCTTGCTAAAGCACAAAAGAACAAAAAACAACTGGATCTGCTCATCTCCAAAGCTGAAATGACAGACTCTGCGATGTATTACTGTGCACTAGTGCCCACAGTGACAGGAAACACTCCTAATCTGTACAAAAACCTGACATTGGAGTCTCACATATGAATTTATTTCTTTTGTTTTCACTTCTCTGAAAGACTAGCATCAGTGTTTAATTCCTATTAATAGTAATTAACACACATTCTGTAGCCCTATATGCATTTCTGGAGATCGCGAATTATGTAGCCAGAGCTATGTATGGCTGCATTTCATCTTTATAATGAACAATACGGGGTGGTATGACACTATTCCTTTTCTCGTTTACTAGCTGACCGCTTATCTTCATATGGATGTCTTTTCCACTGTTAACAGTTTGTCCGGTAGCTCGACATGTACGTCAGTGGACTTAAGTTGACCGTGACAACAGGGTTCGAGTTTGGTGAAGAAAGGTTACAGAAAGCAGGTAAGATGAAAACAAAAGCTATAAAATAAAAAAATAAAGAAGTAAATAACAGGGTTAGAATGTGGTAAAATCTGAAAACATGGTGTAAAAAAAAAAAAAAAAAAAAAAAAAATCACGTTTTTTTTTTTTACTTTTTCTGTATTGCTTTTAAAACACTGTAGTTGGGATTAGAGAAGGGGGTTGGTGTAGGGCTGGGCGTTTTTTTTTTTTTTTTTGATTAATTAGAATTTACCTTTTAACAACGATTTAATTTATATTAAATCGAGAAATCACAATAAAAAAAATTTGATACATTATAAATGGCACCAATGTGCTTTGGCTCACTCTCTGTATGAAGCAGGTTGCACACCAGAAGCGCTGCTCTGCATTGCGCAGCAACATTAATTAATTCATTTTCTTGTCGGCTTAGTCCCTTAATTAATCCGGGGTCGCCACAGCGGACTGAACCGCCAACTTATCCAGCAAGTTTTTACGCAGCGGATGCCCTTCCAGCCGCAACCCATCTCTGGGAATCATCCACACACATTCACACACACTCATACACTACGGACAATTTAGCCTACCCAATTCACCTATACCGCATGTCTTTGGACTGTGGGGGAAACCGGAGCACCCAGAGGAAACCCACACGAAGGCAGGGAGAACATGCAAACTCCACACAGAAACGCCAACTGAGCCGAGGTTCGAACCAGCGACCTTCTTGCTGTGAGGCGACAGCACTACCTACTGCGTCACTGCCTCGCCCCCACGAAGCGCCATGGATTCTAGAATTCTAAACAGGTTTCGATACACACACCGGCACCGCCCAGCCACAATTCAGGACGCAGTTCATATTTCAGCCGCAACACAGAGTGCCATCTGATTAGTTTCATGTTAAATATCATGCAAATGTGCGCGTCTGGTGTGTGATCCTTTAAACTGTCATGTGTGCGCCGTGTCGCGCCGCTTCTGGTGTGCGACCTGCTTGATTGTCTGTTAAAGCGTGAAGTCATGTAGGATTTTACTTGTTGCATTAGTCTGAGTCACGTCTGTATTGTCAAGACATATTCCCTCATCAAGTCAATAAAGCAATAAGAATAAAAGAGTGGAGCAAAGTGCATGAAATGATCAATATATAAAAGGGGGAAAAATAAAAAGATTAAATATATTATTTTATATTAGACTAACATATATTTTATATTAGGTGCTTTTATTTGCTCCTACTATACGTCCACAACTTCACGCATTGGGTTAAATTAGGCTTTACAGTTTCCGTGTTCAGTACTTTTCTTCCACTGTCTTTTTTTAAGAAAAAGGCAGCAGCATTACAACCTGTCATTCAATCAGAAGACAGAAGTCAAAGCCGACCTGACTGCCAATATTTCCTAGGCTCAGCAAAACTTGCAAAAAATACCTCTGTATTCCTGCAACTGCAATATTTATTTGAAAGGATAAGAGGTGGCTCTCTATAGAACAAACATTATTTATTTTCTTTTACATATTTTGCATTTATGAGAAAAAAATGCTTCTTTATGGATGGGGCTTTTCTCCATTATGGATGTAAAACTGCCACTTGGTGACTTTGGTAATTCAAATTAAACCATTTGAAAATGCTGAGAGATATTTAAGAATTTTTTCAGTAATGTAAAATACTTTCATGGCAAGATTGACATTTGCATTGAATTGCTCATCAGCAAAAGTATGTACTGTATTTAATTTCACCTAAATATTCCATGCAAACAATACAAATCTCAAATAGACACTTTAGAATAAGTAGAGAAAATAAGTAGAGATGTAGGGTATGGACTTATAATATTTTGTATGAGGACTATATAAGTGGAGAAGACAAACACATACGAGATGGAGATTCTGCCTGTTGGATAAACTATTATGCTCGTCACTAATGTTAATTTAGCCCAAGACTACAGTTAATTCAAAGAAATTTTACCAAAATTATGGAATAGGCAAGTTTATTTCTAATGAGCCTGGCAACTTGCATATATATTTTTTACTAGTGGCAATACCTTTATCATGTCAATACTATTAATTACAGAGAATTTCCGGTGGGCGGAGCTTTATAATGATGAAAACGACACTTCCACAGAATCTGCACTCAGCTCTTGCATTGCTCTAAACACATAAGATCTCTCTCAATCATGATGCTTATTTGTCTCGCAGTTCTGGCTGTACTTACAGGTATTACATTTTGTTATTTGAATTAATTTGTCATATTATTCATGATTTCATCCACAGCTATCAAATGTGCATTCATTTTTTGATTTTGTTTTTCAGAAAGCGTTTTTTTCAAATGCAATAAGACCTCTCTCTGCTGAACAGCAGGTTTTAGAAGGAGGAAAGGTGATCCTTTCATGTGCCTACAATGGAAGTAATATAAAGAGTTTACAGTGGTACAAACAGCATCACAGCCCTGCACCCGAATATCTCCTGCAAACTTTTGAAAATGCGGCACCAGAGCAGAAGGACCGTCTACTTGCTAAAGCACAAAAAGACAAAAAACAACTGGATCTGGAGATCTCCAAAGCTGAAATGTCAGACTCTGCTGTGTATTACTGTGCACTGGTGCCCACAGTGACAGGAAACACTTCGGCACTGTACAAAAACCTGACACTCAGTATTGTGATCATTTGACATATGAGCTACACTGCTCCTGCAACAATTGATGAGATTTAAGAATTACTGTACTGACTGGACGACTGTAGCTCATGCTGATAACCATCAGAGATGTCGGTAAGAGGAAAAGTTATTTATTTAACGTTTATGAATAAAAAAATAAATAAATAGAAAAGATGTTTAAGGATGTTTGTTTTTTTACTATACAGCATTAAACAACATTTCATACAACATATAAATGGGCAGATTCTATTTCATGGTGACTAAGAATCTTTTTTCTCCCCCAAAATAGAAATTTAAAGGTTTTTCATTTTGAAATAGCAGCAAGCATCTTTTAAACAGAACAAAAAAATAAAAATAAACAAGTGTATATAACATGACTAACTGTACAAGAAATTATTATTGACTTTACAAAACTTTATTGACTGTTTTTACAATTTTTATTTATTTTTTTTGTTTTTTTGGGGACATACAACAAACAAAAGTACACACACAACATGAAATGCCTGACACAAAACCAAACTGCATACAGAAATATACACAAGGCGAAAGCCATAAACTATTGACCATTGAGATGGTGGGACCAGTAAAAAGCTTGATGAAAACAGAATACACATGAATGATCATCCATGAGGACATTGTCATTCTGAGTCTCAAATTGTCACATACAGAAAGGTTTATATTGTCTAAATATCGTGATCAAGTGCGAATACATGTATCAGTTGTGTAGTGGCTAAGACATGCTTAATAGTGCAGGGGAATAGTCTGTTATTGACTTGGAATGGTACATGTTTGATCCACAAACAAAAATCATCACAGTACTTTATGATTTGAGAATTCCCCTTCCAACCCCCCCAAAAAAAAAATGCACTGCAAAAATAAGAAAATCAAACATTTACAGGCTCAGCGTCATATTATAATTTGTATAACTATTTAAAAATAAAGATTTGTTTGCTTATTCGCTTGGAATAAACTATATACTTTCCAGATTTGCGAGCCCACTGTGTAATAAAGCTGAAAAAACAGCCATTCAAGTTTACTCCACAGTAAGGCGCTCTTGTGAGACAAGATGCTGCTTTCCTAGTACTAAACATTTATTCCAGCCCTTAAACTTTTCTTCTTATATTAACATAAGTTAGAAGATAACCATTTAAGATGAGTTTAATTCATATTGTAAAATTCATATTGTTTAATTCATATTGTAAAACTGTAAAATCATTGATTGAAGTTATAACATTCCAATATACAAAACAAAACAAGTCCACTGTTGCTCTTTCCCGCCACAGGATGGAGCTCTGCAGTGTGTTGTTAAATATGACTGACTCCAGCATTTGTTTCACATTTCAAGAACTCATTCTGCTCAACAATGACCATGTTTACTGCAGTCTTGATAATATTTTCACTTCTTAAGGGTAAGTAGTGCTTTAATGCTCCCTATTGCCCTTCAAACATCAGCAGACTGAATATTACAGTATAATTTATTGCAAAGCATTTTAATTCAGGTTGTTAAACAATATGCTTTCAATTGAGATTTGACTTGCGCTACAAACAGACTTTTTTCTTCTTTCACAGAGATTGCTGATGCATATACAATAGAATCTCTCTCAGCTGAAAAGCAGGTTTCAGTTGGAGGAAATGCTGTGATTTCTTGTAAATACAGTGGTATTGGGCCAAGCTTCCAGTGGTATCGCCAATATCCAGGATCTAGACCAGAGTACCTTATTTTTAATACAGAGACTGGTGCTGGATCTGAACCCACTTTACGTCTTACATCGATGGCCAAAAAAGCACTCACACAAGTGGATCTGGAGATCTCCTCTACTGAAGTGAAAGACTCTGCTATGTATTACTGTGCCCTGCAGCCCACAATGACTGAAAATACACCTGCTCCTTACAAAAACCGTGCTCCAGTTCTCATGGGAAGTTCTCAAATTTTAGTTTTGAAGTGCACCTTCTTTCATTTTAAATTGTTGCTGCATAATAATTTTTTTCTCCATTTTCAAAGTGTAAGCATAGGATTTTGACATCTATATACTATCAAAATGTTTACCTGTTTTACCATCCTTCGTCCCTTATGTCCAGGGCTAGACGGAATCTGTGGACGTTTTTTGCTATTTCTGCAGAGAATTTTTGGTAAAAATCTGCGGATTTCTGCTGAATTATTTTGGGAGTATCCAGCGGAGTATCATAACTAAACCCTTAAAATATGAAATAAAAAGTAATAAATTACTAAATAAAAACTGAATAAATTCAGATTTACACATTTACTCAAGTAAATAAACAGAATTATTGATGTGCTAAAAATCTGCAGAAATCTGCGCGCGCAGATTCCGTGTGGGCCTACTTATATCCAAAACAAACTCTGCATTATAAGAAAATCCAAAGCCGCCCCATTTATAATTATGATTAGAGCAAAGCATTTTTATTTTTATTTGTACCTTTGTTTAGTGGTATTAATCATGGTTGTGGTTTATTATATTTCAGTGCTTCCCACATAGACTTTACTTGGGTGGACCGCCCAGGTATATTAATGGCCACCCAAGTATATTTAGTGACACGTTTTTATATTTACTAGCATCATCATCCTTTTACACTTTTTTTTGTATCCACCCAATATAAACAAACATCCGCGAGCGATTAAGTTGTGGAAAATCTTCTCTCGTTTACCCGTTTCACGCCGCTCATTTTGTGTGTGCGAGAACTGTCAACACTCACATGCTCTGCAGACCCAGAGACCTGCACCTTTTTGCATCCGGCCGGAGTTTCTAAATCTACTAAAATGTCCGGGATTTGGTTTTGCTTTTATTTATAGTGTTTTTATTTATTTTTTCTGTAATTTATTTCTCATTTGCTGTACATTTTGTTTATTTGATTGTCAATATATTACATATTTTATACATCTAAAATGTTTTGCCAATACTGTACAAAATTTCATACCAATAAAGCAAGCTGAACTTGAATGAGAGCTAGAGAGAAGCAGATTTACCTGTTAGTGGGTGCACATGGCTCCTGAGTAGCATAAAAGAGAAATAGTAGATTGTTCATTCATTTATTTATTTATTCATTTATTTATTTATTTATTTATTTAAACAGTATTTTAAATAAATACTGTTATGTTATGTTATTTTATCTAATGCACATTGGCAGATGTAAAACGTGTTTCTATAAATTAAAATTAATGCACAGGTCATGAGAGCAAATTTAAGAAATATGCATATAAAAGTTCTTATCAGTCAGAGCACAAAAATAAAAATACATTACCATTCAAGCTCTGAGCTTCATAAAGGTCTAAATGTGTTTCTTGCACAGAAGATTGTGTGCTTATTTTCCCTGCTGTTTCTAAGCTCAATTCTCATCATTGAAGGTCTCCACAGGGTGGAGCTCCAGGCTTAAATCACAAGGTTTCAGTCAGAAAAATACTGTATCAACAACACAACCTGAGCCCATCATTTCATCATGCTGCTCTGTGTGCTTATCATGCTTTCATCACTTGCAGGTGAGAAGTGTTGAATCTTATATATATTTATTATACATTTGAATGTTTTAATACAGGAAACTTTTCATTTGAATGGACTTACAGTGTACATACTATCTGCTTAATGTCTCTGCAAAACTGTTGATGGTTCATCAACATATATTCTACTGATTTAGCAAGGCCATATCAGCTTATTCTACTAACACCAACAAGTCTACTAATACTTTAGTGATAGTTCATCAACATGAAGTTGCAAAGTTGCTTATAATCAACAGAATATTTAAAGTGGACCATCAAAATAAAATGCATCTCAAATCCTATTATTTCATCTGATCATATTAATTAATCTAGTATGCTTTCTTCTTCAGGAGAAGTAATAGGTGAAGTGATAACATCTCGTGGTTCTAAAAAAGAAGCTCAAGATGGTACCAAGGTTACTCTGTCCTGCAACTACACAGGAGTGGTTTATAATCTGTTATGGTATCGTCAGTATCAGAGATTCAAACCTGAACTCCTTCTCTCCATCACTGAATCTGGAGAAGCAGTTAAAGCAGACCCATCATCCCACTGGCTATCAGCTACAGTCCACAAACAAAGCAAACTCACAGAACTGGAAATCAGCCCTGCTAAAGTGACTGACTCTGCTGTGTATTACTGTGCCCTGAAGCCCACAGTGACAGGAAAACACTCTTCCTCTGCACAAAATCATTCTGTGAATTAACCATGCTATTTATTGAGGCTTAACAAGAATGTTTACTGTATTTTCTATGTTGTTTCTGAGACTAAATCATCCATTAGTATAATGAATCCACAAAAATTGCCACACTACACTTGTGGGTGGAGCGTAATGTGGTGCAAGCACAAGAGCTCAAAAAGTCTTGAAAGACCAACATCATCAAATCCAAACATACAACAATGATCCTCTTCTGCTTTGTTTTAGCACTGGTCTTGGATTTTGGTAAGAAACAGACTTAAAATCTTGTTAAAGATAATAAAAACAACAAACTGACTTTTTTATTGGTCATTAGGCATCTTTAAAATGTAAACCTTTAAGATTGATAACACTGGATTGCTAATCGTGTTTGCAGGAAACGCTAATGAGAACTCTATCAGACCAGATGAAGAGTTTGTGTCTTTAAACGAAGGCAGTAACACCACCCTGTCCTGTACATTTGATGGATCTGCTTATCGCCTCCACTGGTATCGACAGAAAACTGGATCGTTGTTAGAGTTTCTAGTGCTGATTGATAAATCTACCAAAGTTGTAGTGACCGCTTCTCCTCCGCATCCGCACGTGTCTATTAATCTCCATGATAACCGTGTGGATTTGGAGATCACTCCTGCTGCAGTGTCAGACTCTGCTGTGTATTACTGTGCTCTGCAGCCCACAGTGACAGGAAAGCTTGTAACACAGCACAAAAAAGATTTTATATGAACTGACGCATTTTTCCCCCAACACATATTCCCCTACTATTCCTTCTTTATACATTTCTTCAGCACAGTTTAGCTGCTGATGGCCACCAAAAATGTACGGTTAAGTTATAAATATATACTTTTCCCAAGTCAAACTAAAATGTTATGCTATATGGAATATTTTTTTTGATAAATAGAAATAAGAACAAAATCAACAATTAATTAGTTGTCCATATCCAGATCCTGTATGATTTTGATTTGCAATAAAGTGAAAATGTATCTACTGGTTCATATATTCAGTTTATGTTCTCTTTAATGAATACTTTAATCAAATTGCATAAACTGTTTCAGGAATAAGGACAAGATTAAGTAAATAATTTTTCTAGAAGGCGGAGCTTGATATCAAGATGTAAAAGTGTTTTATCTGAAGGAGGATGTCAGAAGTCAAAGGCATCCAGTGTGAGTGATACTCCAGTCTATCAGATTCTGCTTTAACATCTGCTATTATGATCATTTTCACTCTCCTCTGCTTTTTGTGGGCGAGTCTTGGTAAGAATGTTTGGTTTACTCACCATTTAATTAGTTTTTACTTAATTGCTGCATTTTTTACTATTTAGTTTTTATTTGACACAACTAATTCAGTTTTTTTTCTCTCTATTAACAGAACACACAGAGGCAGATGTAATAAAACCTTTATCCCTGGATGAAAACAGTCATGTTGGTGATGCTGTTACTCTGTCCTGCAGTTATAAAGATTATACGGGTACTGTTAATGGTTTACAATGGTACCGACAATTACCCAGATCCAAACCAGAGTTCATCCTTTACATCTTTGAAAGTGGAACTTTGAGTGAAGACAAACCAGACAGATTTTCTGCTCAAGTTAATAAAGACACCAAACAAGTGGATCTGAACATCTCCTCTGCTGTAGAAACAGATTCTGCCATGTATTACTGTGCCCTGGTGCCCACAGTGACAGGAAATACAACTGCATCATACAAAAACCTCACATGCCTTCATTAAACAAACATCAAGCCTCAAACATTTACTTCATCCCGTCTCAGATACCAAATTTTTCAAAATAGACTGTCTTTACAATGGAACATCATATTTACACATTTAGTTTTCAAATCCACCATTACTCTAAAACCATACAGTAAACAAACACTGCATTTTGCCAGCAGATGGCAGTCCATCACTGACATGAGACATACTTTCTCATAATTTTCCTCCAGTCTAATCACTTCCCAAATTCCATCATTATCTAAGTGTGTTTTATCTTATAATTTACATTAATTCATGTTTGGTAATTATTCATCTTTGCACAGGTCAGATTTCAGTCCAACTATTGATCATGCTTTTTTATTTCTTAGCTTAAATGGTCAATGATTAAATTGTGCAACATTTTCTCTTCAAAATAGTCAGACAGTACAGATAATGTTGTTAGTTCAGTTTTAGTACGTGATCATAATCTCTGCTGTAGAAACAGTTTAGTAGACTGCAATTAAATGTCACCCTATTTTAAAATGAACAAAGTTACTTAGAGAGCCATTTGGGGACCAATTTAAAAGCATTATAGCAAACATTAATTAGATAATCTACAGGTTCACTAACAGCATGTACAGTAGCGCAAAATTACTTGAAGGTAACTGAATGTCCTAAAAAGATCTATGAATGTATAGTGTTAAACAAAAAGGAAAGTAAATGTATTATTTTTTCCAGACGGTGAAGCTTTAAAGAGATAATAAAGATATGTTTTTTTATGAATACTTTAAACAGATTGCATAAACTGGTTTAGAAATGAAGACAACATTAAGCATATCATTTTTCCAGAAGGCGGGGTTTAATATCAAGATGTAGAAGCATTTTATTCTGAAGGAGGATGTCAGAAGTCAAAGTCATCCAGTGTGAATGATACTCCAGTCTTTCAGATTCTGCTTTAACATCTGCTATTATGATCATTTTCACTCTCCTCTGGTTTTTGTGGGCAAGCATTGGTAAGAAAGTTTTATTTACTCACCCTTTCATTATTTTTTACATAATTGCTACTGTTTTTACCATTTAGTTTTTGACTCAACTAATTCGTTTTTTTGTCTCTATTAGCACAACACACAGAGGCAGATGTAATAAAACCTTTATCCCTGGATGAAAATAAACATGTTGATGACACCTTTACTCTGTCCTGCAGTTATAAAGATTATACGGACACTGTACGGAATTTACAATGGTACCGGCAATTACCCAGATCCAAACCAGAGTTCATCCTTTACATCTTTGAAAGCGGAACTATGAGTAAAGACAAACCAGACAGATTTTCTGCTCAAGTTAATAAAGACAGCAAACAAGTGGATCTGAACATCTCCTCTGCTTTAGAAACAGATTCTGCCATGTATTACTGTGCCCTGGTGCCCACAGTGACAGGAAATACAACTGCATCATACAAAAACCTCACATGCCTTCATCAAACTAACATCAAGCCTCAAACATTTACTATATCCCGCCTCAGATACCAAATTTCTCAAAACAATAGACTGTCCTTTTAATGGAACATCATATTCACACACTTAAAAAGTTTTAATTTACCCATATCTAAAACCATACAGTAAACAAACACTGTTTTTGCCAGCAGATGGCACTCCACTTACATGAGACGTACTTTCTCATTATTTTTACCAATCAGTTCATTCTCAGCTTCCATCATTATGTAAATGTGCTTTATCTTATGGTAAAACTTACATTAATTATTCATCTTTGCACAGGTCAGATTTCAGTTCAGCTATTGATTGTGCTTTTTCCAGCTTAAAAGGTCAATGATTCAATTGTTCAACATTTTCCCTTCAAGATGTCATCAGATAATTTTGTTATTCAGTTTTAGCATATGCTAATTTTCCTCTGCTATAAAAACCGTTTAGTAGACTGCACTCAATAATGACTTTTGCTGTTTGTTCAAACTACTTATTCAAACAAGCTGAAACAACAATTCTTGATATTTGGGGAAGAAAACTTAATTGATTTATGTTCAATCTACTTAAATTTGTAAAAACTGATAACCTAATTCTTTGATGTTGTCCCAACACAAATCATTTGTGTGGAACCCAGAAATTGTTAGTGTTCATTTTGAAATCAGTCAGCACTCATTTGCAAAGACACTTACAGTACAGTCAGTAGGGAGTCTTGTTGGAGAGCAAAATAAAAGCATTATAGCAGACATTAAACAGATGGTCTACTGATTGACTAATAACATATACAGTAGTCCAACATCACTTGAAGGTAACTGAATGTCCTAAAGAGAAGTATAGTGTTAAACAAAGGACAAGTAAATGTATTTTTTTTTCAGAAGGCGGAGCTCAATAAAGATAACAGATTTTCTTCAATAAACACAGGTTGCATGAACTAGTTTAAAAATGAGGACAACATTAAGTAAATTATTTTTCCAGAAGGCGGGGCTTAATATCAAGATGTAGAAGCATATTAATCTGAAGAAGGATGTCAGAAGTCAGTGTGAATGATACTCCAGTCTTTCAAGATTCTGCTTTAACATCTGCTATTATGATCATTTTCACTCTCCTCTGGTTTTTGTGGGCAAGAATTGGTAAGTTGTATTTGTCCGTTCCTATCGATTACTTTTTACTAATTTAGTACTTTTAAATGTTTTTTTTTATCTAACTACTGTATTCTTTTCTTCATTAACAGAACACACAGAGGCAGATGTAATAAAACCTTTATCCCTGGATAAAAACTGTCATGTTGGTGACGCTGTTACTCTGTCCTGCAGTTATAAAGATTATACGGGTACTGTACAGAATTTACAATGGTACCGGCAATTTCCCAGATCCAAACCAGAGTTCATCCTTTACATCTTTGAAAGCGGAACTATGAGTAAAGACAAACCAGACAGATTTTCTGCTCAAGTTAATAAAGACACCAAACAAGTGGATCTGAACATCTCCTCTGCTGTAGAAACAGATTCTGCCATGTATTACTGTGCCCTGGTGCCCACAGTGACAGGAAATACAACTGCATCATACAAAAACCTCACATGCCCTTATTAAACAAATATGAAGTCTTAAACATTTACTTCATCCTGTCAGAAATGACAAAAACATCACCACAATAATCTGTCATTTTACTGGACCAAGTCATAACATACATTCACATAGGCTCACTTCTCCCTTCTGACTAAAAAAATTATACAGAAATAATTCTTATATATTCCCAGCAGGTGGCGCTCTAGTACTTATTTTTGACGGTTTGGTATTTAACTTGACTTCAATTTTCTTTTACATTTTAATTTACTTACAGTACATAACCTGACAGTTTCCAAGCTTGCTATGAAAAGGAGAGCGTGTAATAACACAAACATGCTTGCAAAATAGATTTAATGAAAATATATTGATTTTAACATTGTAACTATGACATATTACAGTATAGTCATTAATCAGTGCTTCTGACTGTATGATATATGCACTCATTCTGAACAAAGTTATATCAAATAAAGTTTCCATGCATATTATTTTACCTCTCACTGACCTGTGGAACCATAATAATCCACTCTTACCATATGCTGCCAGTGGGAGGAGCTGTATGCTTTTCACAACCAAGTTCAAGCTATTTTTGAGTTACTGTATATCTTAGCAAGAAACAAGCAGCAGTCATTTTCAGTCACTTTTATCTCTTCACAGATCAGATGTTGTCCCTAATCTTGATCATTATTTCCCTGCTCAAAGGTCAGTCATTCATAATTGTTTACATTTAATCAAATCAAATGTATTACGTTTAAAAATATATATACAATGTTTGCACTTAAATTAAATTAAACACCCAATGGTTGTTTCTTCTTTCCTATAGAGAATGTTGATGCAGATGGACATATGATAAATCCTTTGAGTTTAGAGACACACGGCCCAGTAGGACACAATGTGACCCTCTCCTGCAATTACAGTGGTCGTGTTCATACTCTGCAATGGTTTCGACAGTATCCAGGATCTCGAATAGAGTTCCTCATTTTTGCCACTGAGCTCAATGATCAATCAAACGCTGCGCTTCGTATTTCAAATGTGGTCGATAAACAAAAAAGCATGAGTCTGAGCATTTTCCATGCAGAAATTCAAGATTCAGCGACGTACTACTGTGCTCTGGAGACCACAGTGATGAGAAACATTGAAACACTGTACAAAAACTAGAACTCATAATCAACAAACTGTAGACCTGACACTATATTATAACAATGCTTTCAACAAACTCCCACAAATTAACATAAGCTGACTCAATCTCAAGTAACATGAACCATGATCATGAAATCATTTTTCCAGAAGGCGGAGTTTAATATCAAGATGAAAAAGCATTTTATTCTGAAGGAGGATGTCAGAAGTCAAAGTCATCCAGTGTGAATGATACTCCAGTCTTTCAGATTCTGCTTTAACATCTGCTATTATGATCATTTTCACTCTCCTCTGGTTTTTGTGGGCAAGTCTTGGTAAGAACATTTTATTTACTCACTCTTTCATTCATTTTTACCTAATTGCTACAGTTTTAACAACATAGTTTTTATTCGACTCAACTAATTAAGTTTTTTTCTCTCTATTAATAGAACACACAGAGGCAGATGTAATAAAACCTTTATCCCTGGATGAAAATAGCCATGTTGGTGATGCTGTTACTCTGTCCTGCAGTTACAAGGATTATACGGGTAATATGCAGAATTTACAATGGTACCGGCAATTTCCCAGATCCAAACCAGAGTTCATCCTTTACATCTTTGAAAGTGGAACTATGAGTAAAGACAAACCAGACAGATTTTCTGCTCAAGTTAATAAAGGCACCAAACAAGTGGATCTGAACATCTCCCCTGCTGTAGAAACAGATTCTGCCATGTATTACTGCGCCCTGGTGCCCACAGTGACAGGAAATACAACTGCATCATTCAAAAACCTCACATGCCTTCATCAAACAAACATCAAGCCTCAAACATTTACTTCATCTGGTCCTAGATACTCAGAAAATAGGCTGCCATATTAAAAATG